TCGCCTTATCGCCTTCCGTATTAGAGCCCCTCGAGAGCCCCTCTGTGCAGCACCAACCCGCCCGTCAAGATCCGTCCCTGGCCCAAAACGGTGGGGGTTTGCGTCCGTCCCGCGTGCTACCGGTACCTTACCATGTACGATCTCGTATTCAGTGCAGTCGCAGACAAGGGTGCTTTTCAGGCATGACTGCTATGATACCGGTATCTACCTCCCGTATAGGAATCGTACAGGTGATAAGGGTGAATGCAAGTGGTCCAAGAGGCCTATCGCCTTGCAAGTCTCTTCACCGTCAAACATAGTCAGATAACTGATCCGACGACTCGCTTTTCTACCCTTCGACACAAGACGGCATGCTAAGTCGCTAAATGGGACATGACTAAGGTACGGCATTACAGTGCCGTGCCGAGATCCAGGTGGTCCCCAGGTAGGTCCCTTACTGGAACCAGCCCTGTGGTGGTTTACCAGGTTCCTTGGATGCCCCTGGTGAACCCCCACAAGGGTCGCCTAGGTACCCCATTGGTGGTATGCTCGCAACCTACCTACGGTACTCACATGTACAGATGTGGTCGGGCGCCATCGCCCACGATTAATATTGTATTGAAAACAAGATGGTCGAGAACAGGATGATAAACAGTCGATTTCCTACCAAATACGTTTGTCTCTATTCTGAACTCGGCGTGAGTGATATTATTACGCGTCTCACCTCGAGTCTAATGAAACCAAGTCTGGAATGGGTGTCCGGATCTAGGAAGTCTTGGCAACTTGCATACACATTCAACAATCACCACCAGATCTCCGAGACGCATCGTCAACAATTGCCCTCACTGAGAAAGCGAATACCTTCGGGTGCGTGTCACCAACTAGTCAATATACCTACCCATAAAACTACAGAAACGAGCTAAAGACGGGGTTCACATCGACCTCCGTGTGTATGAACTTGAGAGTGTCGTTGGTCCAATTCTGGCAACTCGTCCCACGCCCAACAAGCTGAGCTCTACCCTCCACCGAGGCCCCTTTGTTGAATGATATGTCCATTTGGCTGTCGAAATCGCCTCTGACGATACAGAGCCTCCCCTTCAGCTCAGCCGCGACCTCTCCCTTCTCGTTGACAATATCGAACATGCTGATTCCGTGATCGATCTCCAGTGGACTTGGATTGCTGACCTTCATCGTGTTCGTGGTAGCCGTAGTCTCTGCCAGTGCGACTCGAGGCCCTTTCATCCCCCTGAGCTGCACGTCCTTGTTGTAGACAACGTTGCTCGTCAGACCAAGAGCTCTGATCGAGCAATGGCCCTGCTTTAAGCTGAGCACCAGGCTGTCTTCCAGCATGAGAGCTTCGACGAAGGCTTTAAAGGCGTTCATGTCGAGGATCTTGACGCGCTGGTTGTAAAAATTTACATCTGCTCCGCTCGACCTGGTCTGGACCTCGGGGAGCTGGAGCTTTCCAAAACACACGCCGCGGAACACCATGTCGACCTCCATCTCCGATATTGTAGCACCAACAAAGCCGGTCTTCTCTACTCGGCTTTCAATGCTGACATCGAAGGTGCTGGAAATTAGGTCAGCATGTTTTCAGCCTCTTCGGTTTCTCATAATTGGCTACTTACTCTTCTGTGGCATTGCTGATTCTGATGAGGGAGACCTTCAGCGTAGACCGGTCTAGGATGGCTTTGACAACTGAATTCATAGTGATAGCGCCGTGATATATAGCTGTTCGGTGTGAAATGTGAATAAGAGGGGGCGAGACTTTCAGAGCAGACACTGGTGACTTCTGGTTAAGATTAAGTTGTTGGCAAATTGGAATCTGAGGAAAGTGAAGGCAATCACGGTGTTATGATGCCCCAAAAGAGCAACACGAGATGTATATCAACACATTTTACGAGTAATTGAGGGGCATCTTATGCATGCCTCGGATGGGATCAAAAGTCTCGTGCAAGTAGAGAAGCTTACAGGTCCTCC